CAAGTCTTGATTTTGGGTTCATAGGGCCAAAGACTGCGTGTGATCTTAACTGTTGATGGGTAAACTCATGTATTGATATGGAGCCTGACAAGAAATATAAAGAACATGGCCTTACTAGGCCTTGCAATTGGAATGAGCACAACTGAAAACTTTTAAGGGGTATCCATTGGAGGGCAAGTCTGGATTTTGGGTTCACAGGGCCCAAGACTGCATGTGATCTGAGGTGTTGATGGGTAAGTTCAAAGAAATGGCTTTTCTTGGTCTTGTTTTAGTAACGAGCAAATCTGAGGAGGATCAATTTTACTTATTGGATGAAGTGAAGACGAAATGCAAGGTTTATGTGTTCTGGATAAAAGGGTATCTCTTTTGCAGACCAATCCGATTCGAAGAGACTGTTAGTTTGGGAGATTGGGGGCTGGAGATCTGTGAAATGATAACGCCAGGTGTCCTAAGATGAATTCAATCAAAAAAAAAAAAAAATCTCATGTAGAGGAAAAGGGTTGAAGCTCACTTGATTTTGATTTTCGGTATGAATACAAACTGTGAAAGCATGGCCTATCAGTCCTTTAGTTTTTAGGAGTTTTAAGTTAAAGGTGTCAGAAAAGTTGGCATAGGGATAACATGCTTGTGGCAGCGAAACGATCATAGCGAAGTTGCCTTTTGATCCTACAAAGTCAGCTCTTCCTATCATTGCGAAGCAGAATTCGCCAAGTCCTGGATTGTTCACCCAGTAATAGGAAACGTGAGCTGGGTTTAGAACGTCGTGAGGCAGGTTAATTTTACCCTACTGATGAAGTGCTGTTGCAATAGCAATTCTGCTCAGTACGGATGAATCCGCAGTTTAAGACAATTTGCACTTGGCTGATAAACTACCATCTGTTGGATTATGACTGAACGCCTCTAATTCAAAACGTGATAATGCCCGACAAGGCAATAAAATATATCAACTGGGGTAGCTTTGTTGTTACGATCTTCTGAGGTTAAGATTTTTTTCACCCAACACAACATACTCCTCCTTGAGAACACTTGGCACTTCTGGGCCTACCTTCGTCCTCTCGGTCGTCGTGAACCAGGCCCGGATGTCGCGTTCTCTTGGACGATAAGACTTCTTTACCTTTTTATCACTACGTCAATTCCCAACATACACTCATGTCATTCAGGTTAAAAAGGGTTAAAAAGGGATCATACTATAACTGTGCTGAAAATGAAGCACTATTTTGCACAAAACATTGGAGTCATTGGGCAATGTTTTACAGCATTCCCCTTTTTAACCCTAACCCTAAGTTTTGTTCAGGAATAAAGACATTTTTGTATTACTTTATTCATTTAGAATTAGATATATTTAAATAGATTTTTATATATAAATTTTATCAGCCAAAAATTATATTTTTTTCAGCTCATGGGCTGAATTACGTAATTATGTACAAACAATAAAAAAAATTATAATAATAATGATAATAATTAAAAAACAACATCAGCAACAACAACAACAACAACAATAATAATAATATATTAGCAATATAAAATTGTAGCAATAATAAGCTTTAGCAGCCGTTTTCATCATCGTCATGTAAAATTTGTTATCACCGCCATCTCCAGAAGAGATCATGACCATGTGATCACAATCACCATCATCATCACCATCATCACCACTTTCATTATCATATCTATTATCACCATCGTCATCATTATCACCACTACCACCACGATCGTCATCATCATCACCATCAACATCATACGGATGTACATAATATTTTATCACAAATCCCACGGTCAAGTGAATAGCCTGCGTCAACAGGAGCAAAGTTTCGCAAAATTTCGATAATACTTTTAAAAACTAAGTTATTTATTTATTTTAGGACTATTACATCATATTTTCTTTCTGTCACAAAACAAATCCCACAGTCACGTGACAAGCCTGCGTTAACAGCCGTTTCTTGCACTTCCATCCGTATCCATAACGGCTGTTTACACAGGCTATCACGTCGTATGTGATCCCACCCACTTTGTTTAACGAAACACTTAAACGATGCTTCTTAGAGCTGTTTGTTGATTGAACACTTTCTTTGACTCTCCGGAATACTTGGTTATTACATTTATGGTTGGAGGGGTTATTACATTTATGGTGGATTTGGATTATTACACACTTATGGTTCGATTTTATCGCATTTATGGTGGGGTCGATTATCACATTTATGGTTGACTGTTATTACATTTATGGTTGTTATTACATTTATGGTTGATTTTTATTGCATTTATAGGGGGTATTACATTTATGGTTGTTATTACATTTATGGTGGGTATTACATTTATGGTTGTTATTACATTTATGGTGGGTATTACATTTATGGTGGGTATTACATTTATGGGTGTTATTACATTGAAGGGTAATACAACCCCTACTATCATGACTATTATAAACTAATACAGTATAAGTTTTTAGCTTCGTATTCCCTATTTTTCAATCATTCATCTCCTTTCACCCATTTTAAAAGCTTTAGAAGACCTAAAGCTCTGTATAAAACTACCAAAAACAATTTTTTAACCGTAGCCTATACCCATTGTCTCACTTTAAAAGAATTATGCCTTCAAAGTATGTCAATCTTTTTTTTTTTTTCAAAGTGTCCCCTCCCCCTTCCCCCCGGGGTATTTTTGGTTTCCCCTCCTTTCAACCTGATTTGGCATGTTCGGAAAGTTTCATAAATTCGAACCCCCAAAAACCCAGTTGGTAAATGTACTAGCAATTAATATCAATACTCGGCAGTTAGATTACTTTCCACCTACTAATATTTAAAATAAATTCTAGGGCGATTTAAGGTGGAACCAAACTAATTCAGAGCGAACTTTGAACAATTTTATTCTCGCTCCCTTTGCAAAACTATTACGTCAATTTAACTGAATTTTTCATATAATGTGCTTGGATTATCCTAGATTCTAACAGTGTATTTTATTTTAAGATTTTTTAAATGTTAACCTATTACGGCCAAAAATCAAACAGTGCTTTTTTTTTTTAGTTTTTGGCTTTTTTCTGGTACGATTTTTCTGAAATTTTCTGAAAGTCTGACAGAAAAAAAAAAAACGCCGTTTAAAGAACTTGGAGCCATTTTGAAGAAAACGGCGAAAATGTAATTATTAGCCAAACTCTTATTTTTGAGCTTTACAACGACAATTAGTAAAAAAACATTTATTCGGTGAGTTTTTAAGATTTGATTTGATTTTGATTTGATTTTTCGTAAAGCTCGTCCGCAATACTTGGAAATAGATAAGTGAGAACTTCAAGGCAATCCATTCAATGTTAATGTTTCTACAGCGCGATGTCTTACATGCTTCAAATTTTGGATTGAATTTTCAAGCGGCGCCATAATTTTTTTTCTGCCCAAGACATTCCTTCCAAATTTATACACAGGTTGCAATAGTACTAGATGATAAGATTCTGAAAATTTCAGAAAAATCGTACCTGATGATGAGGAGAAAAAAGCCAAAAAACTAAAAATAGCACTGTTTGATTTTTGGCCGTATTACGGGTTAAACGTTATTAGGCTAAACGTTTAAAAAATCTTAAAATAAAATACACTGTAAGAATCTAGGATAATCCAAGCACATTATATGAAAAATTCAGTTAATATAGTTTGGCGAAGGGAGAGGGAATAAAATTGTCCAAAATTCGCTCCGGATTAGTTTGGTTCCACCTAAAAGCGGAAATTGTAAAAGCGTCGAATGTTAATAACGAGTCACCAATGAACAAGGGGATTCATTAACCGAAAAGTGTATGTGTTGCAAAAGTTGAGAAACTGGGTAGTTTTGAATGATTTGCTGAAATTTGAGGCTGGCCCGAATCTGTAGGATTCATATATGATGGATTTATTAATTTGTTTACTATTATCAAGTCCACGGTGTTTCTATCCTATTTCTCATTACTGAGTCATAACCATAACAAACGTTCTTGATTGACTCTCAGTTAGCACACTTCCTGAAGTTGGATTGATTTGTAATTCACATCAGACATTAGTCTTGGATAGCAGTTTTTGATGATGCACATTAAAGATGAATTGATGTTTCTATGACAAAGATAAACAAGAAAGATTGAATGAAATTAGTTGAACTTGAATTGTATACGCGATCCCGAGGAGATCCCATGTCGTACTATGTAGTAGTTTGATTTTGGCTGTTCTGGATCTAATGGGGGTCTCCCTTCTATGATTTGAAATCTCATATCAATCCTCTTGAATGAGTCAGATTAGAAGTCCAAGCCATTCTTAGTTACTCCGGCTTCCTCCAATTTGAATGTCGTTGAACGGCTTCTTTTTTATGAATGATAAATACGGCTATTCGTGTTCTTTAAATCTAAAACACGAATTCAGTTGTATGTTTATTTTATAGGAGTGTTTTGACATTTAGGAATTTTTCTTTTGATAATTAGGTACTTTTGAGGAGCAGCTGCGTATAGGTTCTTCTAAACGGGCTTTGAAGCGCGCGGGCTCCCTGTGGTCACGGTATAGACGAGTTGACACGATAATCACTTACCGTTATTGTCACGCAATCCACATAACCTAGCACGAATCGTGCAAATTGTTGGTGAATGTGATAATGTCTACAGAGTGTCCTCTCTTTCCGCACWATCCAAGCCACTGTGTAAGTATTCAAACCTTTCGAGAGAACTTGTATGTCCGTAACAATCGTTTAAACCTTAGAAACAATGATGTTTTTCTTGCTATTAAATAGGATGCCATAGTGGCCGTAAAACGAACCATTGCAAGCCTCTCCATGATCGGAAGGTAAGGCAATTCCGACGTTTTTCTCAGGACACTGTCTTATTTCTAAACCCACTTATGATAAAAATAAGTTAAAACTGAGTAACCATGGTTGTAATGTGAAACGTTATAGTACGAAACGGCACAAAATGATTGTTATTGTTACTGCGAACAGCGGAAGTTTGCCCTGAAATTCGAGTGATGAAAGGCTTGAAATAAGATACCTATGATCCCTGGATTTAGACTAAGATTGTACAATATTAAATAACGGATTGACCAACGATGTTTTTCATCTCAGTTTCTTCATTATCTTTATCATCTGGCTTTTCGAAAAATACAAATACTTCGAGCAGGTAAGGAAGTCCTTTTTTAGAATCACTTTAATTCGCCTTGCTCTAACGGTTCAGTACTAATTAAGAGCTCAAAATCACCCCATAACCACCCAAATGGGCCAAAACTAAGCACTGATTTGTTATGTGAAGTTTAGGGATTTAAGATCTTTAAACAATCGAGTTTTAAAACTCTTAATACTTTTTGTTTTGACTATAGCGAATAATTATCAAGGGGTTTCCCCTTCGTTTGATTCACCCGAATCTATAATAAGTGCTATTTATAGGTATATTACGCCGAAATGGCAGGTCCTGACATGTCCAGTGACTCAGTTACTGAGTGAGGAATTGTAGTCAAGGGTCAGGGGGTTCTTCCACAGTTAGGTCCTCAGGAACTATCTTTAATTCTGCATTATTTCTATGCAGATTTAAACGACTTCGTGGTGCATAGATTTGTGGGGCTGACTTGCATCACTGGCTTTTTACTGCAGTCAATACGGCTCAAGCCTACACGACTGGTATGAGGGGTGGTTTCCGCCAAAATGTGGACGTGTATTCTAATGTGCAATATTATGTTTCTTTGCTGTCTTTTTTTTTCACTAATGAATGCTAGATGACTTTGAAAGAATTCAATTCGGCACAATTCACTTGTTCATATTCCTTTAAAACCACTTTGGAATTTTGTCACATTTTCTTCTTTCGTTTTTCTCCGAAATTACGCCACCCTTCATAGACTGGACCGAAAGGAATATGGGTAAAAATCACTGAAGCGGTTAAATATTCCGCGTTCTGAATAGCGCTGCGCACTGATAAACATTGCGTTCTGTTTAACCGCTACGAGGATTATACGAACCGATTTTATTATTTTTACTTAAAGTTAAAATAATAACCCATGTAAACTAAGATCAACTGCGATCGGCTGTGAAAATTATCTGCTGAAAGTAAACTTGTAAGTTTGTTTGTCCGAATATCGCCTTTGTCTTCGTCTTCGTTTTTACGACGTCACGGTTGCGCTGCGCTATTTCTGATTGTTCCCGCTAGTAATAAGATAATAATGGCGAGAAACAATCCATCAAATGCATGTCTTCGGGTTTAGTTATGATTCAGTTCACAATTTCGAAAACATGAAGGCATTAAAAGAACGTCTCCTTCGACACTTCCCGCTCGCATTCGTAGGTTCGTACTGTAAACCAGGCATAACTAGTCAGATAAAATTAAGTCAAATCGGCTTCAATGATAGCTACCCAGAGTTCCTTTCGGTCCAGTCGCGTAGGCTTGTGTTGGTCGACAACATTTTTGAATTGACTGTATTCTTTTCAGCTTCGGAAAATATTAAAACGAGAATTCCCTATCAACATATCTATTGGATTTCGTGTTTATTGTTTAGAGACTCCTGTTGGCGCTGTCAGTAGCAGCTTTCATGTCATGTATCTCGTATTTTATGGTAAGTCAGTAGAATAAAGCTTACCCCATAATGAGCTTACCCTTGGTTGCTATCGCTGTCTCGTTCCAGTACCTCACGGTATAATACCTGTGGTACAATTTTATTGTAATTTTATTTAGAATGTTAAATTTTTACTTTAATTTTAACTTTAGGATATATACAAAATTAGAATACATTATATACACACATATATATTATTAGATTTCTTAGCATTATATAGTATTCATAATTGTTTAGATGTCTGTTATTTATTGTTTCTATCATAATTGTATCTTTTGTTTGCACAGCATGTCTGATCAGCTTGCTGAGCCGTCTACTGTGGATAAATAAAGTTCATTGATTGAATTGATTGACTAGGGATGAGCTACTAAATAAAGCGGTGGGCTGGGGGGAGGGAGGTTTTTTTCCCTTTTAGTGCATAACTTGTTAATCAATATCTTTGTTATTGATACAGGGAGACTTGCATCCAGAGAAAGGAYCTTTTTGTGTGTTACAAGCCTGGTGGCTCACTTACTTCGGTTAGTACAACTTAGTAATTTACATAATTACCTAAGAGCAGCAAATTTTATTTGTTTTTTGTTCCTAGAGGCTGCGTTATTCCTTGTCAGCGTCTTGAATTACCGGGTAAACTCTCGACATATCCCTGGGGTGGGTAGGGTAGTTGGAAACAACTCACTAGTGCATTATATCATCTCAATCCTCAGTGAGTTCGGTGACCACCATTTTTACTTGCTTATCGGGTTTCTATCATAATCCTAATTCACCGTGCAAAGTTTCAGGATGAAAGCATGGGAAACATATTTGCCCGCGAACGCGCTTAAGTTGATCTTTCTTTAAGAATTCGAGTAAAAGAGGTCTTTTATTTTCATCCGCGTGTTGGTGTAGATCGCTGTGTCATTTTTTGGGTGTGCTGCATCACATTCAATATCTACTGGAATTTAATCAAGGACCGAAAGACTAGTCATTTTGAGAAGTGAGTATTGCATGACTAAAATATTAGTCTTTAAAACATGATGATAAGGATGATGATGACGATGATGATCATGACAGGGTCATGATGAGGGTGCAAGTGATGATAAGGATGATGATGACGATGATGATCATGA